AATCACGCATAAAATAACATTTGCATATTCTTCACTCTGTGTTGCACCTTTATGTTTTCATAGCCATTTGCAATTAGAGGCAACCACTGCATTTTAATCATGAATAAAAAAAAAAGTGCAATGTTCGATTTATATTAGACTGTATAATTTCAAAAACTGAAGCAAAATCAGAATAACCTGACTTTAGCTTTGTGAAATGATGCTACATAAAACATCTGCATGACACAGAAACAGCAGGTGGGCTGAATGAGATGCAGATTCACTCTCTGACAGCAAGCGGCGCTTATGGAGCGTTTCCTTGGTTACCACTGCGCTTATTAACACTAATTTAAATGCATCATACTGAGACAAAATTAAAAGAAAACGCCATTTCTGAAAACAGTCAGTTCCATTCCCCTCAGAAACACATTCATATAAAATTCAATGTTTGGATTTTCTTCCTATATCGTGAACAGTGATCTTGTTCTGCCTGCTACAGTATTTTCTCCTTTTTGTGTCCGTCTCGGGTCACGACGAGGCGTTCCCCATAGCGACCCCTAGAGGACGCAGTTCGAAGTTCCCATGAAAGGGAATGCCATTTCTGAAAACAGTCAGTTCCATTCCCCTCAGAAACACATTCATATAAAATTCAATGTTTGGATTTTCTTCCTATATCGTGAACAGTGATCTTGTTCTGCCTGCTACAGTATTTTCTCCTTTTTGTGTCCGTCTTCAGCATTTCTGGCCTCTGTTAATGGCCGTTTGCAGACCAAGTATAATAATAACATAATATTTCCACACAAATGGCCATTGGGAAAATGATTGCAGTGCAGTTTGTGTGCAAGCACGGAACAGAAGATAGTCTGAAATAAAACAAAAAATGTCCGGTAGATCGGTGCATCTGTACTCCAGTGTATAAATTCAATATAGATTAATAATTGTTAAAGCTACAAAGTTACTTGCCAGGACGGGTATTTTGACAATTTTGTATGTATTTGCCCGTTCAGGTGGCGAGTACTGAAAAGAGTTGTCTTTCGCGCCCAAATGCTTTTTAATCGCTTGAATTTTTAAATTAACAAGTCTTAAAAACACATGCAAATGATAAAATTTCGTGACGACACCGCAGTGGCCCGATCGGGCAAGTGACAAATCCGTCTACTGTCCCGAACGTCTTTCACGCTGGCCCCGGGCCATATCATGTGCGGCGAATTCAAACGCTTCTCACTGGATCTCACAGCACTGTTGCATCTGTGCAGAAACAGTGTCGTGAAATCAACTTTGGCTCCCGAGTAAAGGGGCGGTCACACTGCACTTTTCGTTCCATTGACTTCCATTCATACGCATGCGACCGACGAGCTGCGCAAAAAATCGCGCGAATATGAACGTGGTTTTGCGCAGCTTGCCTGTGAACAACGGCTCTGTGTAGTTAATGCTGCTCAATGTGAAAGCCCGCAGGTGATGGAGATTTACCGCTGATTACAGAACCGGCTTTACTCATAAGATGCGCGTTAAATATCGCATGCGATTTATCGTGCAGCCCTACCGGAAACGCAAGCTCATGCAAAAAAATTTTGCATTTCGCTGCGTTCCAAAGTTCAAGTTTGGTGAACTCTGACCTGCGAATTCGCATCACATGAAGATGTGTGACCAGTAGAAGATCGATACGTCACTGCGTGACCTCTCTGTACAGAAATTAAAAAATGGAGGAAGCGCTAATTTTAGCCGTAGTGCAGCGTCCTATTTTATATAATACATCTTTAAAAGATTATAAAAATCTAATAAAAAAAGAAGCTGCATGGTTCGCGGTGTCAATGGAAACCGGAACAGACGGTACATTTGAATGCGGACACATTTTATCATTTTTTATTGCTTAGTGTGTGTATATATATATATATATATATATATATAGAGAGAGAGAGAGAGAGAGAGAGAACAAT